CACTAGTGCCATCACAATCATCTTTTCCTCTACCAAAATATGGATCCTTATCAAAATCCAAAGCTCATATGGTACCAAGCAAAAGGAAATCAAAATCGCAATCAAAATCAAAATCTCAATCACAACTGGCTTCACCTTTTGGGACTTATTAACTTAGGTGATTTTTAAATGGAAACGTTGTATTATGTGAATTTTATGTGTGAATGCATACATTTTCATTAGACATGCATTAGTAACTTGAGTTTGAACATTGTTATGATCTGTTCAGTTGTTATCACTTATCAGATTATTGTCTGTTATCTTTTTGAAGATGTTTTCATTGAATTCTTAACGTGAAAGTCAAATTCACGTTACGATTATTGCGAGAATTTGATTTTCGCGTTGCGAATTTTACTTTAGCAACAATCGCAACGCGAATTTGACTTTCGCGTTGCGAAAGTGTACCTTCAACAGTCTTTTTTGCCTTCAACATAATACAGATTGAAATTTTCTTAAACAACAAATCAACTTTTACAAATCAATTAAACAAGCAAAAAACAATTATTTACACATCTAAAAAAACAAATCAACTGCACATTGATACAATTAGCCCAGACAACAAATTTCACGCAGCTCACTTCAGGATTTACCTACATAAACCAAACATTTCCTCAAACAACACTTTCTACACATCTAAAACCAACAAACAACAAATTATTGAATTCTAGGTACTTAACCAAACATTTTCAAACCAACAAAGAGTATATATGTTAACAATACTTGCTCAAACTTACTAATAACAAATGGTTGTTTATGCACACTTTTAGCACGCGGATGCAGGTAGGCAACGTCTCGAATATATCACTCTAGTCATAAAATGATGAAACCACAACCCTACTGCACCTCTATCTCTATTTGTGGGAGGTAGAAAATGTTTACCTCATGTCGTCAAATGTTCCAAGCACATGCATACAAGAGGACCACAATCCCCTCTGGCTCCCGCCGTTTGCTGTGGCACTGTCTCATCTCTCATCATTGTAACTTTGAACTATTTTGGCTTATTGTTTCCAGAATTAGTCCAATAATCAATCGCATCCAAGTATTTAGCCAAATGAGCGCTCCATCCCTTACAAATAATATCTTTCAAATCAGACAATGATATGTAATTCAATATGCTGTCATATACTATCGTCTTCAGGGATGGGAGTTGAAGCTCGACGAGAAGTCAATGACGACGTTCCATAACAGGGATAAACACCTGTAATCATAAATAATAATTCAATTGTGCACATCAAATAAAATTTATGAACACCTTTAAAATATTCAAAAATAAATACTAATCTTATCAACCTCCCACCACGCAGGATAAAGCTTAGCTTTTCCATTACCCAACGCATATGAAGCGTTTCTCTGATCCTTCAAGTGAGCTACGTGAAAAGACGAAGGCATAATAGTCCATCGTGTCTTTTTATTTTCTTCAATTTCCTTATAATCAGAAGACGTGACACCCATGCATCAAAATGTTGTGATAAAAAAATACATATATTAGTGAATTTAATAAATTTTTAAAAAATAATCAAAATGCAATATAAGAAGAATATAAGACTTACCCCCCATTCGAAATAGTCATTCTCTTCAACCCCTAATAAAACACCCCACCAAGACCGATCAAGAAGAAAATGCATACTATCGTCGATTTTGCATATGTCAGCGTAACACCCTTAGCTCCGCTCATGTAGATAAAAATCAATTGCGGTCTTAGCCCAAAGGTATTATCCATAATTGTGTCTGGTAGTGTTCTCCTCTCCTGCTGAGGAATAGTACTGGCCGGTAACTCATACGAAAGCCAACTCTCATCCATCATATCGGGTACGTGAGGGGGTTTATCAATATGTCGACATAGTATGCCATGTGAATCGGGATCTTGAACGGTGGGAGGGATATCTTGAACGATGATAGGGGCCTCTTGAACGGTGGAGGGTCTTGAACGATGAGAGGGGCCTCTTGAACGATAGAAGGGGCCTCTTGAACGATGACAGGTGAATCGGGCTTCTTCTTACGGAGTCTTGGCACAATTGGGGTGAAAGGAGACGTAATGGAACGTGCACGACGTCTGATGCGTGAACCCCGTCGTGCAAGAAAAACCCGACGTAAAACATCTACCTTATTGAGCCGCTAAAAATAAATTAATACATAAATCAGTAAATAAATAAATAAATAATGCCGAAAAAAGGTTATTTGCATTTTAGTATAATATTAAACAAACTTATCTCATTGCGTAGAGTATGAACCTCATTCTGCAACGATGAAACAATCTCACGTAGAGCGACTACCTCATCACGTAAAGTAGATACCTCACCACGTAAAGCACCATTATCATCGAGTAAAACATCTACCTCACCACGTAAAGACCGTACATCATCACGCCATGCACCATTATCGTCACGTAAAGTACCGACCTCATCACGCAAAGCATTGACCTCATCACGTAACTCGCCTAACTCATCCCGTGGAGAACAGGGAGATAAATGTTGTGGCATCTTTGCCTGTCGCCTATCATGAGTTGATGGTGGAGAAGAGGCTCGATGATGTGATGGAATATGATGGCTCTCGTTGTGGAGGTGTATAATCGGTTCGATCAGGTGATGGCTCTGGGTGTCGAGCTGTAGAATCAGCTCGATCAGGTGATGGCTCTCGAAGTGGGGGTGCTCATCATCTGTCCCATCAAAAAAACGCTTACTAGCTTGCCACCAATCAGTGGCAAGCTCAGCCTCTGTGGGTGTCAGCCTCTGTAATGGATAGTTGACCTCCTAACAATATAAAAGCTCAAACAAAGTTAAACGTCTACTAGTAATAACTTGTTTATATATGGTAGTATTTGTGTTAACTTACATCATTCATCGTCGTATATGGTAGTAAATCTTCCCAATCCAGTAGCCGGATCCTCCTCCAGGTAATAGCCCTAGAATATCATTTGAATTTTTCTTGCATATGTCCGCATGCTGAGAAAATCCTCAAATATCCAAATCTACAAACAATATAATACACAAACATTGGTAATTGTTAAATAATTAATTATAATTTTGGAAACATTATATAGAAATTCTTACCTTAAAGGCCCAAATAAAGCCTACCAAAGTGTATTTGGAATCATCGCCACGTAAACTACGACGGTCCTCAAAGGAAGATGACAACTTTTTCCATATAGCTTTTTATAGATATGAACCCCAGGAAACATGTTCCATGCATTTAGGTCCTCTACCAATAATATTAGGTCCTCAGAAATAGGTTGTCTGGCCTCTTTCCTTAAAAAGACAGAATTCAAAAGTAATAAAAGGCATACTTGGATAACATCAAGGTCATTCATCCGAGTAAAACCATCTTTAAGAAGTAATCTTTTCAAGTCGTCGACGTGTAAACTGGGCTTCGCCTTTGCCAGCTCAGGAAAAACCCGAGATAACCATGATGGGTGGGCGATATGACTAGTGTACCGACCTACTTCATCGTGTCCGAAATGTAGACCAGTGATTAAACAAAACTGCTCCCACCCAAAACAAGTATACGCCGGTGGAAAATGAAACCATATCTCTTCATCACCACGTTGTATCCTCTCGAGTAGATCGTTAGTCATGGTTTGAAGAAATAAATGGGTCAACATAGCATCTCCACCTGGATGTTGTACTTTCATCCATGGCCCGAAGCAAGTATCCTCAAACAATTTTCTTTGTACAGGTGTAAGTGTTGACGCTATTATAGTGGCTAGGCTTAATTTATTCCTTAGAGTCAATGAAGCCGAAAAAAAATTTCTAACAGAAACAATAAACATATCAAGTTAGATATACCAAAAACTACAAATTATACACTATAAATAGACATGATATTAAACAGTGAAAACAAAGCCAAATATGTTTCAAACTAGCACGGTATTCACCCAAGTCATTATTATATCATAGGTTTTTTTGTTGAAGTAATGCAATTCATTCAAGTTTCAATTTGCAGAAGAAGAGTAGTTTCTGAAACTTAAATTCGAAACGCGAAAATGAAAATCACAACGCAAAAATGAAAATCGCAACGCGAAACTAAAATCGCGTTGCGATTTTCATTTTCGCGTTGCGATTTTCGTGTTGCGAATTTAAGTTTCAAAAACTATTTTTTTGCAAGTTGAAACTTGAATGAATTGCATTACTTCAACCAAAAGACAAAACAAAGACAAATACTAACTTCACAGGGTTAAAGACTAAACAATTTAGCAGTATTGGCAGCAACCGAATGAATTTACTAAACAATCTAAGTGAAATGGTTAATCTATATATTGAAATTACCAGTAAATTTATCATCAATTTAAATATGAAAAATCTAATAATAATACAAAATTTTCAAAATAAAAATAATTAAAAAAATTAACCCTCGGTGGTTGATTTTCTATTTGTGGCTGTGAATGGTTATGAGGGTGGCTCTGAGAGATGGAAATAGACGGATTTCGCCGGAGATGGGGACGGATTTCGCCGTAGAGAGTGAGAGATGGAGATGAGACTGAGTTGTGATTTTGAGTTTTAGGTTATGAGTTACGATTATACTGTTTACATTTGTGTTGCGAAATTAATATTGTGTTTCAAATTTTAAAATAAAATTTGCGTTGCGAAAATAAACACGCTTTGCGAATTTGACTTCTGTGTTGCGATTTACATATTCGCGTTGCGAATTTGGAAAATCGTGTTGCGAATTTGGAAACTATGTTGCGAAATTAGAGTTCGCGTTACGAATTTGTTGTTCATTTTCACAAATCCAAAAAAAATTAATTAAAATAATATATTATAAGATATTTTCGATCAATGAAGTTATTTTCTCTTAAATATATCATACAATTATTAGGTAAAAATATCATAAAAAGTAAAAACATTTGTAGTGAAATTGGTGAAAGAAGTCCCAACGCCGTTGAAGTCGAGGCAGTTTGAAGAGTCGTCCTCGGTTTTATAAGCCAAAATTTTGTAGTTTTTAGTTTGTAGGGCCAAAACCGGCAGCCGATCTCGAATTGTCTGCCTTTATTTTTCCTCCCTCCAATACATCGCTTTTCCAAAAACAGACGAAAAAAGAAGCTTTGATTTCTTCTCTTTTGTTGGTTTTACCACCGGTATCCGAAAAAGCTTTGATCATTCTCTGCAACCACCAAAACTAAAGGGGGGAAAACAAACTTCAACTTCTCCTTTCATGGAAACTCTTTCCTATGCCTTCACCGGTTCCGCTTCTCCAAAGCTCAACCTCCCTCCGAACGACAGCGTCTATCGTCGTCTCCTCGGTTACCGCCATGGATTTACTCCCTTGAATCTCGCCACACTGAGATCGCAGGGAAGGAGTAGAGTTTTCCCCAAGCTTCATTGTAGTCAACAAAATTCCGAAAATAGCATCGATTTTAGTGATCCTGACTGGAAGTCAAAGTATCAGCAAGATTTCGAAAGGCGCTTTAATATTCCTCACATCACCGATATTTTCCCCGATGCTCTCTCTTTTCCTTCCACTTTTTGTCTCAGAATGAGGTTCAAACACAGTTCCTTTCCCTCTTTTTATCAAATTGCTTGAAAATTTTACAATTTTGTGCTTTTACTTTTATATATCTGATCGCCTTCATATTTTATATTTTAAATATTTTATCAATTATTTTGAACTTAGCAATTAAAAAAAAAATCGATGTATGTTCTTTTGTTTGCCTACAGAACTCCGATTAATGAGGAATTTGCGGAAGGTTATCCGTCTGATGAGGAGTGGCATGGTTACATTAATAATAATGACAGAGTGCTTCTTAAGGTAAGCATATACATATATATTTGAATTTCACTATTTTGATTTTGTTTCCACAGTATATACAAGTTGCCGAATTGTGATATGGAGAATTGAAATTTTACATGCTTATAGAGATTTGAGATCATCTTCAAAATTGGAAAGTTTCATCTATAGAGTATGTATTTAAAATGAGAATTCAAAATTACCTGAAATGGCATAAGTAATTTTAGGAAAGAAATCCAGGCTTGCACCTTTTAGAAGTAAACTATAGTTTGCCCATCTCTGTCGTTATATTCATATTTTAAATCAAGACAATGCTTGACAGAAATAATCTTGCAATGATTTTAGTTAATCATCCTCGTTTAGACTATATTGGTAAAAAAAATTTGATCTTTTAAATATTTCAGGTCATACATTACTCTTCTCCCTCATCTGCTGGTGCAGAATGCATTGATCCTAACTGTACTTGGGTTGAACAATGGTAAGTATAACTCCCGACTTATTAATAGGGTTTTGTGAACTTGTGCATCACATCTTTCGTTACAAGCTATGTTATTCTAAATAATATGTACTGAAGTATTGTTATAGTATTTTTAATATTGTTTTCCAACTCTTCTTCTCTTTTAGTAGGATTGGTAACGTATATATCCATTGGCATCACATATGTTAATATCCAACTCTTGTATATTTTCCTTATCACTGCTTTTGTTTAATGTAAAGTTTATTTGGCTGCTATTGATATTATATGCAACATCATGACATATCATGTTAGGGTTCATCGTGCTGGGCCACGAGAGAAAATTTTTTTCAAACCAGAAGAAGTGAAGGCTGCAATTGTTACTTGTGGCGGGCTTTGCCCTGGTCTTAATGATGTCATTAGACAGGTCAGCACAAATATTTAAATTTCAATATGCTGCTGGCCGGTTATAATTCCGTACAACATCTATGCTATGCTTTTTGATTTGGCTCAGTGCTTTCATTGTTGCAGTTAAATAATTGTTAACTGATTTTTAATTTGTATTTCATGTTAAAAGTTCATTTTCAGTACCTACTGACTCAGATTGAGGACATGGAATATATCTCTTATTTTTCACTTGGTAAATAAATCTCAGACCATGTACCGAAGTTTTTCTTCTACTTTGGATGCTTTTGCAAAAAAACTTCATGAATTTATGGTTTTGCTTTATGAAAGAAAGGTATTTACAGTGAATTAATTGAAGTTTGGTTGTTAAAGTCTCACTTTTGTCATAGTGTAAACTGTTGAAGTATGATGAAGTAATTATGACTGAATCTTAGCACCATAAATATATATTCTTTAAATTGAAGTTTCTTGTTTAGTCTGAAATCTGAATGCTTTGGTGTTTATTGATCAATACTGCTTAAATTAATGAATTTGTGCAGATTGCCATCACACTGGAAATATATGGTGTAAAAAACATAGTGGGGATTCCTTTTGGTTATCGTGGATTCTCTGACAAAGGTTTGGCTGAAATGCCGGTAAGTTGTGTTTCTTTCCTAACAATGACTTGTTAGAAAATATCTATGCTCCATCCAAGATTTTCTATTATTAATTTGGATCGATTTTCAGCTATCGCGGAAAGTAGTCCAAAATATACACCTTTCAGGTGGAAGCTTGTTAGGAGTTTCACGTGGAGGGCCCTCTGTCAGTGATATAGTCACTAGTATGGAGGTACTAAAAAATCTTCCACTACTGTCTGATTAACTCAAATCTTCTTGAAGGAATTGTAAATTTTGAATCAAAATAGCCAAGACTCATGAGGCCAAGTATGTAGTGATGTTCTGATATACTTCCAAAATTGATGTCAGGAAAGAGGAATCAACATGCTTTTTGTGCTGGGTGGAAACGGCACCCATGCTGGGGCCAATGCTATTCACAATGAGGTTCATATCATATATCTATTATATTGTCTTCATATTTAGCACTATCCATTAATCTTGAACATGGTATTTCCTTTATTTTTATTATTATCTTAAGTTGGAAAATAGAACTCACAAAAACTAAGACGTTTTCTTTTAATCCCTTGAAGTCTAAGCTGTGTTTATAAATTTTGTTGAGTCATTTGATTTAGCTTCATAAAGGCATTGGTCTTGGGTAACTGAAAGATTCAGATTTATTTTCCATTTTTGGTTTTTCTAAGCTATGTTTTTCATTTCAAAGTTATATCTAATATATCGATTAGGAGGGTCTGTGATTAAGAATCTCTAAGAGTTGTGAAAATTTTCTGTCACAAATAGGGGCTGGCATTGTGTTTTTCTAAATCTATATGTGTGTACACTTGTTTTCAGTGCCGCAAAAGAAAATTAAATGTGGCTGTAGTTGGTGTGCCAAAAACTATTGACAATGACATTCTGCTGATGGATAAAACCTTTGGTTTTGATACTGCTGTTGAAGAAGCACAACGGGCAATCAACTCTGCATACATTGAGGTATATCAGCTTTGATTATTGGTGTTGATATTAAAAAAAAGTATTCGACTTTCGAATTCATGCATCGTATGATACTTATCTACTTAAATATATTTTCAAAAAATTCCTACCTGTCTCTAACTACTCTTTTTACTTCTTTAATCAATTACCAGGCACATAGTGCTTACCATGGAATTGGTATCGTGAAATTGATGGGTCGTAGCAGTGGTTTCATAGCCATGCAATCATCCTTAGCTAGTGGACAAGTTGACATATGTTTGATTCCAGAGGTATTTTGCTGATTATTGACAATAAATTATGATCAACTATGCTCTTCACAGTCTTTAAATGCATGCTACTAATGCTGGACAGGTACCTTTCAATTTGCATGGGCCTCATGGTGTATTAAGGCATCTGAAATACCTCATAGAGACAAAGGGATCAGCTGTGGTCTGTGTGGCGGAAGGAGCTGGACAGGTGACTATATATAAGTGTGTGTGTGGTTGGGGGCTGGTTTGTTTTATTATTGCTTTCATGTTTCTTTCTTTAATCTGTTGTCTATTCTATGGTTTCTTTTCAATTCTATTAGTAAGTTTTGTATCTTTGTCAACATCTGTAACTTCTCTTATGGGAATTATAAATTATGGGAATTATAAATTATGTGAAATTCACTTGCTTTACTGCAGAGAGAATTGGTCTACATTCAGTTGGCAGCTTTGCAAAGACGTTCCTTCTATTTTTTTTTTGTTTTCTCAATTTTATCATGTTTTGTCAGTGTAAATGTTGAGTCTGATGAAATTCATAAGTAATTAGTTGAAGGGTAAAAGAACCAATAGGTTGAAACTTTATTTCCCTTTGTAAAATAAGTATTTTCAAAAACAGGGTTAAGGTACCAGGATATCTCTTTATATTTGTTTGAGAAATTGTTTACTGTGTTGTCCCTGTTTGAAGACGAAGTGTCAATTCTTAGAGATTTTCAAATTTGATAATATGATACACATGAAAATATGTGAGCTGAGCATTTCTGAGGTGCTGCTTTTTGGTGCAGAATCTCGTTAAAAAAACTAATGCTACCGATGCTTCTGGAAACATTGTACTTGGAGATATTGGTGTGTATATCCAACAAGAGGTATTTCATTTTCGTCATAGTTTCAACTATTTCTTACGTGTTTTTTTTAATGCTCATCACGTTGTCCAGTTATTTGAATATTTCCTCCCAAGTAACTTAAGGGAGAGTGGGAATCTTCTCTAGTGCGGCAATTTAAAGACATTTGAAACCTTTCTAAATTACGTTTCTAAGAGACGGCGAAGCAAATCGCTTTCTATGTTCTTCCATTGAATGATATGTTTATTTTTCTTTGCATTTGATGAAACAAACATTTATAGGGGTACTAAATGTTATTTCACTATCTTCCTACCAGACAAAGAAATGTTTTAAGGAAATCGGCATCCCTGCTGATGTGAAGTATATTGATCCAACATACATGATTCGTGCATGCCGTGCAAATGCATCAGATCGAATTCTATGCACTGTGCTAGGACAAAATGCTGTAAGTATCCATTACTTTTAACCCTTACAATTTAATTTTGGCTCGATGTAGGGTTATATGACATACATATAGAACTGATCTCCTGAAATGGGATGCATGCATGTATTTACTATTTACAGGTTCATGGTGCATTTGCTGGATATAGCGGCATTACAGTTGGTATATGCAACACTCATTATGTATACTTTCCCATTCCGGAGGTGATTTCTCATCCTCGAGAAGTAGATCCGAACAGCCGTATGTGGCATCGATGCTTGACTTCAACAGGGCAGCCCGACTTTATCTAGAAGTTTTGAAATTGTTAATTTCATTCTTAGGGTTTAAAAGAAATAAAACCAAGAGAGAACATGGATAATAAAACGGGATTACCATGTTGAGGGTACCATTTTTGGCTGTTCATGAAGTCAGTCAAACATCATATTGTTTTCATATGTAACAATCAAAAAGCAGGTGTAATTTATTCTTTAAATTTGGACAAATTTTCTAATTCGGCAATTCATGTATTATTGTTTTGTATTGCATCCGTGTTCAATACCGCTCGATGTTTTATGTGTTCTTGTTTCCTTTGAACTTAATCCTCTTAAATAATTATTAGCAACTTGTTGCAGACTTGTCATGCTAGTTCTACTATTTGATTTTTTAAAGGGGAAAACTACTCCAGCTATCATTGAACTTTGAGTTCTAACTTGTTTATATAACCGAGTATCTAATTTTGTCAAATTATAACATTAAATTTTGATTCCCGCTTCAATTATGTCATTAAATCACTAACAATATTGTGACATGATTAATGGTCGATGACATGGCTGTTGTACAAAAACAACGTAGTTTGGTGCCCAAAAAAACCTAAAACGATGTTATTTTATTTGAAGAAATTTATTAAAAATGTCGTGTTTAGGAGAATCTGAACCAAAAATCTTTGAAAACAAAGACTGGAGCACAATATTTAATATTATTTATAATATATTTATATATGATTTATAATAAAAATTAATTCTTCAAAACCTTAAAATTCTAAAAAAAATGACGGACATAATTAGCGTTGAAGGATGTGTTGTTGCTAGCAGATGAAGTTTTACATAGATATTGGTTGACATTAATGCAAGGTATGAGTGGATGTCAATGGCTGATGTTATTTTATTTTAGCATTGTCGACATGTATTGAAGTTATTTTTATTTTGTAATGATGTATTTTTTGGAGCTTATTCTAAGTTTGTGAAAGTTTGAATTTTTTTTATAAGGTAGTGATTTTTAGGTATTAATTAAAAATATGATATATGATAAAAGAAAATAATCTCGCATTAAACATAAGGTCTCGATTTTAAGATGTTCCAAGTTAATTATTGAGTTTTCTATTTGAATTAAAATTAAAATTTTCTTTTATTTGAATGATGAGATGTAATTAAATACTTTTCTGAGGCATTGAAATAAAAAAAATACAATTTATATGTATCAAAAGAAAACTTACATATAATTTATATGTATTTGATAATCATACATAAACTGAAGTCAGGTCGAAGCGATAGATGATAATCATCGGAGCAAATATCATATGATGATATTACTTTTTAAATATGAATTCAGACATTAACATTTTCCTACATTCAATACTTTGTTATTTTCATCTCAATATTTTATAACATAGAATTCCTAGTCTTCGTCATCTTTATCGTCAAAATAACTCAAAAATTCTTAAGCAGCTTACGAACCTGTTCCAAGGTAACAAAAAGCACCACCGTAAACGGTTCCTGTCTGGAGACCGTGGGTATAAACCCTTTATATAAAGCCATGGGTCCCTCCGCCTTCACCGTCTTCAGAGCACAATCCAAAGAGCTGGTGTATGGTGGCTTCTGCCCGGCCACCACCTTCATATTCATTACCTTTGTCTTGATCACATCAACGGGATTCGACACCACTGCCGCCTCAAATCCAGCCGAAAAACTCGCCGCTACGTGTGTCCCGAGCCCATCTTTCATCCACCCATTTGCCAAAATGAATTCTTTGATTTGATCGTAGGAAGCCAACTGCGATTAAATCCAGTGGGTGGGTTGAACAGCCAGCCACGATTGATGCAATGCCTCCTTCAATAAAACCTTTGACTCCTCCCATTTTATTTCTCTAAAAACAAAACTTGAAAGCAAAATCAAGAGCGGCCAATGGAATAAATGAAGCATATGGGGACGAAGACGGAAAGCCATTGAACAAGAGTGACCAACGCTGGGCCTTTGAGAGCTTAGCCTTCGTTATGAATATAACAAACTCAGTTAATGGATATGGGGAAAGTGTATTTATAGATGGATTAGGTTTTTAATTTTTAATAATTTGTAAGGATTAAACACACAAGTACACGTTAAAGTTTTTAGATTAAATTTCACCACAAGTAACTGTACTATTAGTAAATTTATAATTGTGTCATCATATTAAAAATCTACAATTAAATCACTTTATTATTAAATGTGTAAAATATATTATTTATTCATCATTGGATGACCAAAATATAAATTTATCAGAATAAATTAACATTTGTTACATGTCTAATATTAAAGTGATATGACTGTCACAGTATACTAATAGAATGATTTTATTTAATCTTTTAAAATATGATGATTGAATTATAAATATTTTCATCTAAGTATCTAAAATATTCTTTAATTAATGAAACATGTCAATTTTTTTTAAAACTTAGAAGATAAATATTGAATACTTTAGTATCTATTTTAATAAAAAAAATATTTTGAGTATTTATTTTAATAAAAAATATAACTTTAAATATTTACTTTAATTAAAAAATATTTAAATACTTAAATAAAAATATATACTTAATTGACTAATAATATTTTCTGATGCCACCCCAAAAGGAAAAGGCTGAATTATCTTTTTTTTTTGTTTTAGTTACATTATTATTATTTTTTGGATAATTAAGTTTTTTATTACCTAAAATAGCAAAGTATTGCTACAAACCAATCAACCAATCACTACAAAAAGAAATCTATGCACATCCTATATAAAATCAATGATTGGTGAACTATATACCCCAGGTATTACAAAGGTATAAATTAGTGCTATCTAGTCTATTGATATTTTTCCCCTAAGACGGAATCGAACAACATCAGTAATTTCTTTAGTTACATTATTATTAACAACACTAATTCAGAAATGATACAAAAATGGAGATTAAAGAAATAACAATTTTAATCCTTGTGACGATATACATATTTTTATGTTTTCTTGGTATTTTAATATAGTTTTGTGATAATATTTGTTTTATATTTTAATTTTGAATAAATTCATATATATTTTATTAGTAATATTGTTCACATTCAAATTATATAGGAACAATAGGTCATATTTTGTCATTAAGACCATTTTTCGAGTTCTACAAAAAAATTGTAACACCCCCAACTCGTATCCGACCCGGATACGAGTCCGAAGTGTCACATTGACTTTTTAAACATGTATTCGTATAAAATAGTGGGTAATTTAAAAACTTTGATAACATTTAATTTATTTCAAAGCGTTTACAACAGATATCAGAGTTCATACCATTTATATCTTTAGACTACATGCCAACTACACTCTGTAAACAGTACATACATTTTCTGATCTGACATTTGGTAAGGAAAACTGACCTGTCTTGCTCCGCATTACTCTTTACTCTTCTCGAAACCTACGCGTGAAACAATCACACGCTAAGTCGAAGACTTAGTGAGGCATAACAACTTACAATGCACTTCATAACATATATCAATACATGCATGTTCTGTTCTATCATGTTATACCAATTCCATGCATTCTTCGTATCATATAAAATCATATCAGATTAATTACAGTAAATACATACAGACACATAATTCATCATTAACAGTTTATCATGTAATCACATACTTTTATTGTTAACCTTTTCAATCAAACACTATACACACACAACATCATATGGTTCATGTAACACATTTCAAACCACTTATAACCCCATCGTATACATATCACATTCAGTATGCTTGTTTAATCACTTTATTAGCCCATGTACACTAGTGAGAACTTAAGGTATGTGAGTACATTGAGGTTGTGCACACATATGCTGTCACCACAGCTCGATCAATGTCCCGAAGGACCAGTCCATAGATTCCGAAGAACCTAGGTAATCAGTCCATATGTCCCGAAGGACATAGGTAAACAGTCCGTATGTTCCGAAGAACATAGGTAATCAGTCCATATGTCCCGAAGAACATAGGTAAACAGTCCATATGTCCAGAAGAACATAGGTAAACCCTCGACCCTTGGCATGCCAACTATACCCCTAGCTCTCATATCACATAACATGGGCATTATCATTTATAACAGTTCACATTACTTATTCATATTCTTTCTCTTATAACCACTTATCCTTTCTTTTCAGTCACGTATCACATGTACGTGTAATCATTGATCTCATAACATATACTTGTTTTCACATATATATTTCATATCATTTCACATATACACTTTCATATCACATGCCATATAAGCTCATAGCTTCTTTCACATTCTCATAGGATCACATAGTTCATATTTTATACTTTGTTTTCACATGTTCACATATATCATGTCATATGGCTCATATCTTTCTCATGCAGTCACATAGTTCAGTTTCACATATGTTCATATATATACATTACATAGCACATACTTCTCATAACATTACATTCAAAAGCATGTTAACACATATAATCATGCATACATACAATTCATGTCATTCATATACGTATAATCATATATTCATGCATTCTAACAGAGGAAATAGACTTGTCGCAAGTCTTGTTTCCATTTAGCACCATAAACTAATTAATATGCACTCACCTGGCCTCACTAGTCAATTCAAATCTCTTATCTTTCCCCTTGATCAATCTTACTTGCCAAACGTTCCGGAATTCTTTATGCGTAGAATCTACATAAATGTACATTTCGAGACAATCATTAGATACCTACACCTTATAATTGGATACTAGCAACTTAAACGAACTTATTAAACCAATATTCGCATTTTCCTTTAGGGGGAATCGGTTCCCTACCATGGGGGTATCGATTCCCTCAAGACATTCTGGAATTCTGTCGTTTGAAGGGGTATCGGTTCCCCTTGAATGAGTACCGATTCCCCTCGCCCAGAAATCATATTTTCAACCCGAAAATTACTTCATTTCCACTCAAACCCTTCATATATCATCCCCTTTTCATTCTTAACTCTAGTATACATACTTAAACCAATCTATATTCATTTATTTCATCTTAAACCTCAAAATCCTATCTTCCATATGAGATTCAAAAATCATACCAAATTTTCAATGTGTTCTAATTCCAATTCTAACACTCCAAATCTCTTAATTTAACCATTGACAAGTCAAATTTAACTTCAAATTCTACTTATCAATTCTTTTCCAAAGTTTCATATAAAACTCCAAATCTTTAATCTCTCTTAACCCCTCCATCATTTGTTTTTAA